CCCCTTCACCACACGGCTCTTCGTCCCTGGAGTTCTCCGGGTTCTCAGGCATTTTCCTCCTTTCTCTCCTGTTTCAGATCGCAGTGCCAAGGTGGATTCCTCGGGACACTTGGCTCCTGGGGAAGGGGACGCTCCCTGGAATGCACTGGAGACTAACTCGAGGGGTCCTTGTGAGGGGGCTGCGTCTGGAGGCCACTGGGCCTGGGAGGACCCCTCAGAAGGAACAGGGGAGGCAGCGTACAGTCAGGAGCAGGGGGCCATGCTGAGGGCCACAGCAGACCAGGGAGACCCAGGAGGGAAGCCGGAGCCCACGGACTCCTTTCAGGCCAGGCCCCAGAGGGATGAGAAGGACCTGGTGCCGAGCCCTCCGCCCCTCGCCGGGGAGCGGGGCTGCTGGTGCAGCGAGTGCGGCAAGACGTTCAGCCAGAGCTCCTACCTGCTGCAGCACCGGCGCGTGCACACTGGCGAGAAGCCGTACACCTGTGCAGAGTGCGGCAAGGCCTTCGCCTGGAGCTCCAACCTCAGCCAGCACCAGCGCATCCACACGGGCGAGATGCCATACGCATGCCGCGAGTGCGGCATGGCCTTCCGCGCGCACTCACAGGTCACCCACCACCAGAAGACACACAGCGGCGTGAAGCCCTTCTGCTGCTCCGACCGCGGCAAGGCCTCCGGCCGCAGCACCACGCTGGTGCAGCACTGCCGCACGCACACGGGGGAGAAGCCCTACGTGTGCCCTGAGTGCTGCAAGGCCTTCAACCAGAACTCTAACTTCCAGGAGCACCGGCGAGTGCACACGGGCGAGCGGCCCCACGCCTGCCTGGCCTGCGGCAAGGCCTTCAGCCAGAGCAACCTGGCGGAGCACCTGAAGATCCACGCCGCCGCGCAGCCACACGCCTGCCCCGACTGCCGCAAAGCCTTTCTGCGCGCGGCCGGCCTGCGGCAACACAGACGCACCCACAGCGGCGGGCGGTCCTTCGCCTGCGCCCACTGCGGTAAGCGCTTCAGAGACAGTTCGCAGCTGCTGCAGCACCAGCGCACGCACACCGGCGAGCGGCCCTTCGAGTGCACTGAGTGAGGCCAGGCCTTCGTCGTGGGCTTCAACCTGGCCGAGCACCGGCGCGTGAACACGGGCGAAAACCCCACGCGTGCGCCCAGTGCGGCAAGGCCTTCAGCCAGCGCTCCAACCTGCTCAACCACCAGCGCATCCACTCGGGCGCCAAGCCCTTCGCCTGCGCTGACTGCGGCAAGGCCTTCAAGGGCAGCTCGGGCCTGGCGCACCACCGGCGCACCCACACCGGAGAGCTGGCCTTCGCCTTTGCCTAGTGTGGCAAGCCCTTTCGCGGCAGCTCTGAGCTGCGCCAGCACCAGCGCCTGCACTCCGGGGAGAAGCCCTTCGTCTGCGACGACTGCGGCAAGGCTTTCGTGCGCAACTCAGAGCTGGTGAGCCACCGGCGTACGCACACGGGCGAGCGGCTCTATGCGTGCGGCGAGCGCAGGAAGCTTTTCAGTCACCGCTTCAACCTCAACGAGCAGCAGAAGCGGCACGCGGGCCCCGCCGCGTCCTGACCCGGGAGGGTCCTGAGCCAGAGGCTGGGCCAAACTGACAGGCCGTAGGGCTCAAGGTCCCG